TGTCTATAGTGTATCTAAATCTAATATGGGGATATATAATTTTATATGTGGCCCGCGGAGTTATGATGCATTTCCAAAGTGGCCCGAAAGATCATTTGGGTTGGCCACCCCTGCTCTACAATAAACTAAAATTTAAGGCTGTACCCACCTTCCTATTTATGAAGTCACATGCAAGATCCTTTAGAATCTTGAACCCCAGGGTGCTGGATGAAGCTGTTACTGAGTCCCGTACCAGCCCAAATTGGAACATGAATATCACCTCAGGACCTTCCTTCTTCTTCCCCACTGCTGATTCACTCCTGCAAATTGATTTTATCTTGTATGTTCCTTAGTATCACAAATCAACAGTAACAGAAACAATTATTTTTCCAACCACCCAACAGGTTTAATGATACTAAACACCGAGGTCAAGTGGATTCACATTATGGAGGGGTCCAGTCCTTGGCCTGAAGGCTTCCAGACAAATCCTGCGATCATACCTTACACGGTGATGACTGCTTCATTCATCTCATTTCCAAATCATTAGTGATGACCACAAACAGCACAGTGCTCGTAGTAGACATCAATCTGACAAGAATTTGGATAAATACACCTGAATAACGGAGCCGGCGTAGCTCAGTCAGTATAGTGACTAGCTACGATCGGGACAATTGGGGTTCCATCCCCGACAGGCGCAGAGGATTTTTCCTCTGCATCCAGATCGGCTCTGGGGCCCACCCAGCCTTCTATCCAGTGGGTACCAGGGTCCTTTTCCGGGGCTTGATGCTGACTCGCCCAGATCTAGTGAGAAGGTCAAGAAACAGTAGGAGCTATTCCTCCGCACCCCCCAAACGACCTACATGGCGTGTAGCGTGACAGCTTTACTTACTTTACACCCGAATAACTGGAGATGTTAACATCTTTTATACATTCATTTAATGACAAATGCATAGGTTAAATGGTATAAAAAAATACAGAATAATTTAAAACTAACTGGAAAGGATGAGTGAATTGTCAGCTTAGGCTCATTTCAAGGTATAATCTCAATATTTACATAAAGGTTCAGGCGAAAAACATAAAAATCCTAGTCAGTAACTTTACTGAGACTTAAAATTCGGTACACTTTAAACTGGATTACCAGTTGCTATGGTACAATGCTGGTGTGGGAGTACATGACAGTTAAGTGAAAAGTCACCACATGTTTACACTACTGTAGCAAACAGGGTATGGATGTTGATAATTTGTGAAAATTTCGAAGAGATGCTGGACCCCGCTTCATCCACGGCAGAAGATGAAGACGGTATGTTCATTTAAAATGTTTGTATCCCTACAAGCCCACACATCATTACAACCCAGAAGACCAAAGTGATCATTTATTTACTTGTAAAACACTGTTTTCTTTAAATAAAAACTATCCTTTCATTTGATTTTATGTTGACATTTCAGTATGAATCAGGAAAAGTCAAGGTCCCCAGAAGTACTGACAGTGCACCATGAGAAGTCTGCTGTGAGTTCAAGTGGGCATAAACAACCACACTATATTCTTTCACAAAACACACATCCACCACTGATTACTCTATTTGAATATAATATACTTCACTGCTGGAGACTACTGGAGTAGAATGTGTTTAGAATATGAATAGACACAGTGCACATGCATAATATCACACCTTCTCCCACTCCTATTTCCCAGCAGACTTCTTGTGTTTGCATGAAAAGAATTTTGTGTGGAGACTACACTGTATGTACAGTTCACAGCTGCTGAAAGTATGCAAAACACCTAAAATATTTTACTACTTGTTACAAAATGTTTCTTCCAAGACAGGCCACAATCACTGTCACCAGGAGAATTCACATCACAATCATTTTACCCAAATGGTCGCTTCAGACACAAAATCATTCGTATTCTTCACAACCCGACAACTTCTACACATAAAACATATACATAAAAATAACAAAAACACAATAAAAACTAATGATTACATACCTACTAATTGATATGAAGATCCGGTTTCTTCTTAACTTACAGAATAACGTGATTCACTTACACAGCTGGAAGCAAAGAAGCACGTCATACTGCATCCGCTTCACAGCTGTATGAGAAATTCAAATGACGAAAATGCGATATGAAAATGTGCGTGTTCTTATTCTTAATACCATGCTGCATGCCGTGTGTGGGCTTCATATGAACCCTTTGCCTTACTGAATTTCTGATCACGTTTAATAAAGGGCAAATTAGTAAATTTTCTAAAATATATATATAAAATAAAAGTCCTGCATGCTGTATGGGATCTCCCGGGTTCAAATCTTGTCCGGAGTCCTAGGATATCTTAAGGTTTTCGTGGTTTTCTTGTGTCCCTTCAGGAAAATTATATGATAACTAGCTAACTAACTAACTAACTAACAACGTTCATAACCGAACTCACCAATATGACCAACAGAAGTGATATTCTGTAGTTCTGGAGGTTATTTATTTCAAAAAAATAAAAAATTAATCAATAAATAATTGAGACTCCACAGAGAACTTTTTTATCATTATTATTATTATTAAGTGTTCTGTCTTACGACAGGTCCATTGCTCTGCCCAAAAAGAGCTCTCCAGTTGTCCCTATTCTCGGCTTCTCGCTTTAATTCCTGGAACGTCATCTTCTTTCCTTGTTTAAGATCGTCGGTTAGCTGTATCAGTCTTCTTCCCAGTCCTCGCTTTCCTTCAACC